GCAGGAGCTCATATAAAGTGGATCCAGGAGAATTAGTGTTTCTTCTGGCTGTTATACGCCATTGACATGCAGCTTTTTGGGCAGAAATAAGTTTTCTTGTGGTGGAGAAACCAGCTCTATAACCACGTATGTTCTGAGAACTGCCATAGAGCTCTTTGCATTGAGCATCGCCTGTAGCTCGGGTTGTGAGAAGCCAGATGCACGGGGACACACCACCTTCCCTGGCCATCCCTTTTTCTCCTAAACTCCCAAAGTTGGAAGCCTTTACTATGCCCCTGCCTCTCATTAAGTAATCCTGACTTCTTGGAGCTGTGCAAAGCTCTTAATAGTTAGCAGCACATGATAAATCAGAAATAAGGGGTTTGCTGGCTGGAACGTGTCGTGCTGTACATCCTTGGGAATGTATATCCTTGGGAAACACGTTTCCAGCAATCCACATCATAGGCAGATGCTTTTTGTCTCTTAGGTGTTTCCTGGTGGCACAGCAGAACTTGGTGAGCACCAGGAGGATTTTACACTATAATTGGCCAGTGTGCACAAGGCTTAGGGGTTTGGCTGTTGGCATCAGTGAAGCAGGATTTGGAGTCTCCCTTGAGCCTTGCTAATACCCAGATACTGCAAAGGAATCTAAACGGCTTATGCTATTCCAGGTGGGCAAAGCACTGTGTAGGGTAGGAGCTCACATAAAGTTGATCCAGGAGAATTAGTGTTTCTTCTGGCTGTTATATCCTGCCTAATTCTAACTCCTCTAGGAGTTATTTTGCCACAGCATCTGTACAAAGAGCTATGAAATTCCTACTGCACTGACTTGGCTATGGGTACCCCTACAAAGGAAATTCACTTAAAACACCCTTCAGAGCAATTCAAAGTTGGAATGGACAAGGATAATCTGCAAGCAGGCTGCAGGGAAACTGCTCTGGGTTTTGAACAAAAGTCCCCCTCAGTGCCTTTATGTTAGAGGTTTATTCCTGTGACTCTCATCCACATTCCCCCTTTCCAGCATGCTCCTTCTGAATCACATTTTCCCCTGCTATTTGGAAGAGCAAACAGCAAGAAGTGTGAAACCTCTGTGGCCTCGCCAAGTGCAAGCCAGCCTCCCTGCTGGGAAAGGCTCTAGGAAAGGACACTGGGACAATGGGAGCAGGCGCTGCCAATATTCAGTTCTAACCTTCGTGTCAAGTGCAACGTGGTTTTGCTGCCTTTAGGGCTGTGTCAGACCTGTGAGCCCTGCCTGCTGTGCCCAGGCTCCTCTCCCAGCAAGCCCACACCGTGCTGATGTGCTTAACCTATGCTTTGTTGCACCCTGCCATTACTCCAAGCGGTCAGAGAAAGCCCAGTCCATTGGTTATAAATGCTGAACATCTTAAAGATACTTGATATCTGATTAAGCACTTTATAAGTCTGTTCATGCAAGTATCAGGCCAGATTTCCTCGTTTTGTGGGCATAAGAAAACATTTTCTGCTTAGTCCCATAAAACCATTTGTATTCATCCTTATGATTTCACCATTGTTTTCCCTTGCTCAGCAAGATGTATATTACAGTCTGTTTAATTGTGTGTTTGATCTTTACTACTTAACCGGATCTATTTATCATTACAATGCATCAGTACATTATAAATCTTTCAGGCACATTTATCAACATAACAAAGCTCCCACTGCAGAAGAGTCCTCCAGGGAAATAAAGCAACAACAACAAATGCTTTAATGCAATTCACTTAGCAGTACAAATATTTGTAATTACAAAAATCTTTAAGTGTGCTTCTCCCATAAATGGCACGTTTTACTTAAAATTGCTTTCATAATGTGATAGTGCCTCCAATTTATGCAGCTGATGGGTTCCTCGAATTGAAGCAAGCAAGGCCAAGCTCACTGCTTTCTCCTCTTTTCCCTGTTGCTGATGAGAAGGCAGAACTCGAGCTCACTGATGTGCTATTGAAAATTTGGCTGCACCTAATAAAATGAGAGCATTTAAAAAACACCAGTGCGTGATTAATAACTGCTATAAATACATTACAGCAGGAATGCAGTGTTACAGATAGCTGCAAGCCATGTGTGAACCAAGTCTACAACAATCAATTAACCATTAATTGTAATGTCTGTTAATCATTGATTAATCCTTTATAAATAACAAATACATTATCCTTGCTGTAAACTGGGACCACCAGGTTATACGACATGGCTATTCATGTTTCTCAGGTCTATCAAAGACAAATACATGTTCTCAATCGGTTGCAATTCCGGCATCATTTTTGTATGTTTAACATTCTTGGGAAATACGCTGTTATTCCATTAGCAAGTTTGGGCTTTCTTTTGCTTTTGCCTCAGAGCAAATTACTGCAAACTAAAGGACGTCTCAGGAAGTCTGGTTTTATGGCTGAAAACTGTCATGTCACGAGAAAGGCTTGGGGATGCTTGTATTTTCTTATCATGCACAGAGTCATACTCAGATTGTCTGTGGAAGGTGCCTGGCCCAGCATTACAAGTTCTACTGGGCACATAAAAACAGAGCCCAGTAGCACTGGGCCTGACCTGAGCAGACATCCAAGGGACCACAGTGGTCAGACAGGGTAGTGCCCTGCAGCACTTTTCACATCTCCAGCTATCTTTCCACCTACAATGTATTCCCCTGCCTCCAGGTAGTGGCAATGGAGTCACCTTCACCAGATCCATTAGATAGAATCATAGATTCATAGAATCCTAGAACAGTTTGGGTTGGATCATCCAGTTCTAATCCCCAGCCATGGGCAGGGACACTTCCCACTAGACGAGGCTGCTCCAAGCCCCATTCAACGTGGCTTCCAACCCATCCAACCAAAAGAGCCAGAATTCCTTGAAGCCACAAGAACTAAGATTCTGAAGGCAAGTTCTCAAACGTTAACAACTTCCAGACTTCTGATACTTTGTGGAACCTCAGTGTGGCCACACGAACATTATGATGCTCAAGTGACAAGCATGATGTTATATTTTCCATAGCATTATATATAGCCCTCCATTCAGAAGACCAATGCTCCATTAATCACCAACTGTTTGAAAACCTGCTTCGCATCCACTATTCCTGCTTAGACCCAACCTACTGCTATTGTTCCTGTGCCTAATTTAAACTTTAATGTCCGGTCTGCCAGAGACACAGAGAAGCAAAGGAAATCTAATTTTTCCCATGTTTCTCATTGTTCCAGAACAGGAGATTCCCACCACATTCCAAAACGTGGTATTTCAGAACATCATTCTGGGGTATAACAAAGCCTCTACTCTTCCAAGCAGAACCTTTGCCGAAGGACAGGGTGTACACCACGCCACTTAAGTCAATCACAGGAGCGAGGTGTGCAGTGACCAAGTTTCACATCCTGTATCTATGAAGAGGTGCTGCTACCTCAGAAATGTACACTCAGCAAGCAGTAAAGTGCAGGGCTGCAGGCAGGGCTGCTAGGGAACAGGACAACGAAGGCAGGAGAGGCTGGGATGCGTGGAAGTTGTCTGAAGGGAGCAGTCAAAAGTGCTGCTGTCACCATAGGGAGGGAACTGGAAACTTCCCTGTGAGGGCCCCTGGAAGCTATTGAGAAAACAAAATAACAGACCATGATGGAAATCTGTAACTTGAGACACCTCCAGTAGGCGAAAGCACAAGGATGTATTCCATGGAGAACAGAGCCAGGATAACAAACAGTGTAATCTACGCCAGGCTTTAGAAAATGCCCAGTGTGCCTGTGTTTGCTCTCTGGTTTTTAAATGAGCCTTCATATCTGCGCCTGTAAAATCTCTGGAGCAGGAACTACCTTCAAATACCCATTTACATGTTTATAAACACAAGAAGGCATTCACAGAGCCTCCGCCCTCAACAGGTCCAAGGCCTTTGAACAGTCGGCAACATAAGAAGGGAGACAAGACCTGAACTGTGATGAACAGGTGAGCCAGGGCTGACACAGCTGTATTAACAGCCTCACCAGGCTGTTTAACATGCTATCCTCTTCAAACTCTGTGACACGATGGCAAATTCTGCTGCTGAAATGCTGTGGGCAGGCTTAAACCTCGACCGGCTGATCCGCAATTCAGAATGGGAGCATTTAGAGATTTTACAGTGAAGATTCTCCATGTGTGGTATCTAAATATGCCTTAATAGCTTATAAAAAAGATAATATTTATAGAGGCGGCTTGCAACAGCCGCAGGCAGAGCACCGCACGCTGTTTGAACGGGGCTGGTCCTGCGCAGTTTCGATGCACAGAGTGAGCTTTGCCACCTGGTGGCTATTGAGGAGAGGTATTTCTGTGCCTTTGTCATCCACAGCGCCCAGGTCCTGAAGGAAAACAAATATATAGCAGAAATTAAAGAAAAATACAGCCTATATAAGAACCACAAACCCGATCACCTGTAGTTCTTAAATGAAGCAGAGAAATCAGTAGAAAAGCTCCTATAGCACAGCTTGGATGCTCCAGAGCCAGGATACAGGCCTGGCTTGAAACAGTGAGCAGTAAGGGAGTTCTGAGAAGGGATTTCAGTTCAGCATCTGACTTCATTCCTGTTGTACAATGCAGACACTGGCATGAAACAAGCTCAGATCATCCATCTCACTGAAAGCCAAAGGTTGGGGTTGGTACCGGAGCAGCCGGCACTCTGCAGCTCCACAAGCTTCGCTTGTCAGATGGGCAAGCACATTACTGCGCTGCATTCTTCTGTTTCAGTTTCATGTACTTAACTTACAGCGAGACCAGTTTCTATCGCAACATGTTCAAGCAGGTGAAGGCTATGGCAGGCAAAGTTGCCCTCCAAAGGCTGAGCAGACACTGCACTTGTGAGAGTCCACACCCCTGGAATAAGCACACCAAAAAATAACAGAGAGAAATGAACAAATCACAACAAAGCACTGCCCTTTCTACCCAGGAATCTGCCTCCACAAAGAGACTTCAGAGGCTGATGGAGCTGAGCTGAAGCATCTGTTTAAGAATGCTTCCAACACCTGGAGTTTTAAACCTCACAATAATAGATGCTAAGCATGCAAGGCCAAGTTGGACAGGGCTTGGAGCAACCTGGTCTAGTGGAAGGTGTCCTGTGGCAGGAGGTTGGAACTGGATGACCTTTAAGGTCCTTTCCAACCCAAACCATTGTCATTCTGTGATTCTCTGACTAGATTTTGGGGGTGAATGATCAGATTTGGATTATTAAAGTAGCTTTTCAAAACAGCACCACAGCTTGAAGAAGTTTCATCCTCCCGTGCCTCCTGGGGATGAATTTTCAGCAGCCTGTATGTACCTCAAGAGAGGGATAAGCAGCAGTACATGTAGGTACCTCTTCTGGATGGCATTTCATTTCTATAGGGTGCATCTCCTAAGTAACGAAGCCACTTTGGTACCTGGATTCATTGCCACAAGAAGTTTACAGCAGACACTCAAATCCATGGTTTATTCTACTGTACCCTCAGGCACTTAACTGTAAAGAATATATATATGAGCTCTTCCTCTTAAGCTTTCACTTAGGTCACTGAAGACAAGCAGAAGGGAGAGCCCAGACAGATGCATCTGGATTTAAGAGCAGCCACATTCAATGGGTAGTGAACAGCCCTTGCGAAGGAAACCCCCTGGTGTCTGCTTAGAGCTGAACTCAGAGCTGCCTTTCACAAACACATCATGAACTACTGGGAGTCACCACCAGCTCCACTGACAATGAATTACAGATGAATGTGTAATCCCAAATGCTTTGGGGATCACAGCAACGTCAGAAACCTTCTCCTACTTCCTGCAATGTTGGACAGAACACATGAAGAGTTCTCCAAATGGGGAGGTTTGATCCCAGAGCGTGTTTGTCAGGAAAGACACCCACTGGAATGGCCCATTTTGCTCCAGGATACATATGAAAATTCCAGTGGGATGTGTGCCACAATCCAAGGGGTCACAATTTCATAGGGCTTTTTCAGCAGGCTTAAGACACTTATTTTTCTGTAAAACGGGATCTAGATCTCTGGGATCAGCTTCCAGTTACATGATGCAAAACTGTGCCCGTATCCTTTGGATTTACACAGGCTGAAAACCTCTAAAAATGAGCTTTGAGTCACAGTGGAGACTTTTTATCTTGTAACATGAGGGCTGTATCCGGTGCTTAAAGTGGCTGGGATGCAGGAGGAAAAGAAAAAGGAAAAACCAAAAAGAGCCATTCAGAGTATGAATTCTTGGAGACCTCCATTTCCACAAGGACAGGCTTCCCACTTCCTGCTTGGAACGCAAACGGGTGGCCTTGGAGCTGATTGCAAAGGGCTATGACTTAAGAGATAAATCACTGTAACTACATAACATGCTAAACACATTTCACATACGCGAGGCCTTTGAAAACACACGGGCCAGCAAACAGCAAAACGACCAAAAACCCACAGCAAAGAGAAGCTGGAAGTCCCCTGACTCCATTTTAATGGGAAAACGACTGGTGCTGATAACAGCAAAAACGTTACTGGAAAGCACCAAAAGCGGATTCTCTTCCGGTTATGGTTTAAGAACAGTAAAATACAGCATGGGCTTAACTTTACATGAGGGCTTAACTGAAATCCTACTGAACAGCACTGGCGACCTAAAGGGGATTTAGTCTGATGCTTCCAGGTGTGTTGAAGAGCAAGCACTGCTGCTTCCCAAGCTCCTGAGAAGTGGGGTATGCTGTATAGCCAACAGCTGTGTTGGGAGCAACTGGCTTGGGAATTCCATCCATGGCACTGGGTGAGACATACTGAAAATGGCTGGAGGCGTTTGGAAGCACAAGTCTGAGCTGTCAGCTCCTCAGGAGGCTTATTTTTAGATGTTGATTTGCTGCCTTAACTCTCAGGGCTTATCCAGGGAGGAGGAGATCCATCAGATTTTCCCAAACTATACTGCTTTCAGCAGTAGCCCTGTCACATGGACACATCATGCTCTGCTTCTAATACATCAACCTTGATATGTAAAAAAACGCTCTTGTGCAAATTAAGCTTCAATCTTGCTCCTTTTCATGACTTCAAATCTTTGCAACTCAAAACATAGTCAAGTATTTAAATTCTGGGGATTTTAAAACTTCCTTAACTTCATTTATTGCATCCCTGCCCATGGCAGGGGGGTTGGAACTGGATGATCTTAAGGCCCTTTCCAATCCAAACCATTCTATGATTTTATGATTCTTTTTATTGAGCAGATCTTCAACACTTCCAGCTAGCAAGCACTTACCCTTTCTAGGCAGCACATGAAAGATGGGGGATAGATATGTAGTTGAGGACTGTGCAAGTAACAAACGGCTTCAACGGATTGGCATGCTCAGAGGATGATCTACATCGTCTTGGAAATGTCTCAAATGCCTCTAATCATCTCAAGGACATACTCTGGTCTGTTTATGGCAGCCTTGACACTGTCACAACCCACCCCCCTCCCTCCAAAACAAACAGTGATCCTTCAAAGAAAACACTGTTATGGCTCTGAGCCGAAATGTAAAGGCAAAAAGTCCTGAGAGTAGAACTGAAGAGCCATAATTGTCTCTGTAGTACAGAAAATGTAGGGAGGAAACTCCAGATGAGGAACTGCATTAAAAGAACAACTGGGGGCAAAAGTGGACGTAAACCGTAGAATGCTGGACAGGAGTGAGGTGGTGTGCATGGAAAACAGCCAGGGAGCTAAAAAACTACTGGTCTGTGTTGAGCCAGAACTCACAGCTGAAAAGCAGAACTGATGAAAGGACATTTCTTCTAAGAAAGGGAAGAATTCTAAAAGTAACTTTCTGGGTCTCTGCCTTAGAAAGTAACAAGGAGGAAGGACAGGAGGCAGGTACTGAGGGACAAACATATGAGGTATGAGACCCTCATAGGATCCTTTCTGCAACAGGCATACACACAGCGAGTGCCGACGGTGGGATGAAAGCAAGCACCTGGGCTACAAGAGCGGGCACTGTGGTGAGCATCTACTGAACATGGAGCTTTCGCTACTAATGAGGGGCTATGTAGGCAAACGCAATGTGAAGACCAAGAAGAGGATTAATCAAGTTCTTCACTTATAGAATCATAGAATGGTTTGGGTTGGAAAGGACCTTAAGATCATCCAGTCCCAACCCCCCTGCCAAGGGCAAGGACACCTCACATCAGACCATGTCACCCAAGGCTCTGTCCAACCTGGCCTTGAACACCGCCAGGGATGGAGCATTCACAGCTTCCTTGGGCAACCCATTCCAGTGCCTCACCACCCTCACAGTAAAGAACTTGTGACTTTAAAGGCAAACAGCGCACCAAGGAAAGTCAATGGAAGCAAGAAGACAGCAGCTGAAAGTCTCAGAGAAGATCAGAAATCCTGTCATTTCATCTGCAGAAGATAACCATACCGGACTATGTCATTTGAAAGGACAAAAATACAGAGCCACAAAGGAAAGGATGCACAGGATAATGGAAGAAACTGGGAAAGAAAACAAATGAATAACAGAGTTTGGTCTTCCTGGAAGATGTGTCACTGACCTCGGTACAACAGCAAATTGGCTAGAATGTGACCTGCTCACTAAATTCAAGTCAGCCTACATGACCTCATGTTTGACATGCAACAGTAACTGGAATTCAGAGACACGGAAAGCCAAATTAAATAAAGCAGTTTAAAAACTGTAGTGTCAGTTATCCTTCATTTAAACAAACTATCAAAGGAATAGCAAAACCCCCATCACTTGACCTTTTATAATATAAAGACTAGAAATCTCTATGAAAGATTTAACTTAAAACATGGCATCGGGTTTAATGAAGAAGCATATCACATCTAATGGCTTTACTAAGAGGTCAGACAGAATGATCTAATATTACTCTTTGCACTTAAAACTAATGACTTTTTTTCCTCCCCCACCCTTTTTTTCCCCCTCCCAATTTACCCAAGGCAGAAAGGTTGGAGTGAACTGAATAAAGGAAATACTGGTGGTGCAGCCTTTTCCTTCAAGCAGAACAACTGACGCTACCGAAGCATCCGCTGAGATTAAACAAGAGAAGAAAACCCTCAGTCTGAGGCAAGGAGTAAGCTGGTAACAGCAGTTACAGTCATTTGGAAAAGGCAGCCTTAATGATTTGAGGTGGAAGGCTGGGCAAGAAAATAACAAGGCATTTTCTCAAATAAACATTCTAAAGGAAAAAGCTGAAGCTTTTAATCCTGAATGGAAAAAGGCCTCTAGTTGTTGGTTTGGTAGCAACTGTGTATGACCTTTAAACAATGTTCTCACATTTTAGATTGCAAAAACAAAGTTATAGAAACCCCCCAACAACAAAACCCCAAACACAAAACCAAAACATCCAACCCAAGCTGCAGGGACTTCAGGACTGATTCCCAGTAACTGCCAACTGGAAATCTGTCCCAGGAGCTCCCTGGGACTAATCCCCATTTATGCTCATTTGTTCTCATACAGCAGCATTTAACATTTCTCCTTCCTCCTCAGCATTTTACTATTTACAGTCAAATCACAGAATGCTTTGCATTAGAAAGGACCTTAAAGAGCATCAAGTTCCAACCTCCCTGCCACAAGCAGGGACACCTTCAGCCTTCACTTGAAGCAGAAAAAGCCAAGTTACTCCAATCTCCTCTCACACCATAAGCACTCCACACCTCCAGTAGTTTTACGTTGGTCTTTGCTAGGACTTCAGCCGAGCTTGCCCTTTTGGAAATGCATGACCAAAACTACACACCAAATGCTCCAGGTCTTGTGTAACATCTCCGATCCGTTTCCATCCCTACCAAAAACAATGCCAGATGCATCTGCCATCACACTGCTCTTATCCAGAGCTGCCCCACAGTGGCAACCCATCAGTCCTACCATGAGAAAACATGGCTTTTCCTGGAAAGTTGTTTTGACTTGCAACTACCTGACTGCATTTGCACAACTGTTCTCTTTCTGCTTCCAACAGCCCCTATTTTGATCCTTGTGCTCCAGAGTCTCTTGCACCTCCTTCTTGGCCAAGATCATTAATTCAAACACTACTATCTCCCAAACCCCTGACTGTTTGATGCAGGTACTTTGGTTACCTCCTTTCAGTTACCTCCTACTTTCGGTTATCTCCTTTCACCTTTCTACACTGCCTCAT